CCAGAGGTCCTGAGTTCAATTCCCAGCAACTACATGGTGGCTCATAACCATCTGTAATGAGGTCTGGTGCCCTCTTCTGGCCTGCAGACATACACACAGATAGAATATTGTATACATAATAAATAAATAAATATTTAAAAAAAAAGATGGAAGTCAAGGCTTAGAGAAACAGAGACCCACTCCGTGCCCAGTGAGTGGCTCAGCCAGTACTGGCTTTCTCGGTGTGCGCAGTATCCAGAACTGGTCACAAGAGGCAGGGACATGCCTGCCCACTGGGTGCTAGATTTCCATGGGAACCTGAAATTTGAGGCACTTCGCTGGTCCTTCTAGCTGCTCAGACTGCTGCCATGGTACTCACTGACCAATAAACACATCTGCAGGCTTTAAAAATGCAGCTTAGAGGGATGGAGAGGTGGCTCAGTGTGTAAGGTACCTGCTGAACAAGCATGAGACCTGGGCTTGAATTTACAGTATCCACATTAAAAAAAATACACACACAACATATTGGTGTAGCAGGGTGCAGGCATTGGGACCGGTGGATTCTCACTGAATCTATAAGATTCAGGTCCAGTGAGAAACCTTGTTTCAAAGACTAAGGTGGACAGTGATGGAGGAAGACATCAGGTGTTAATCTCTGGCCTCCACATGTATGTGCATGCACACTTACACACAGGTACACAGATAATGCACAAACACACACATACAATTTACACACACACACAGGCCATTGTAGGCCCATATTCTCCAAGCATGAGGTGTTGTGAAGTGGGCATTTCAGGTGTTTGCTTTAAGTGTTGATTTTGTCTCTGCCTCCATTTGCTGCCACCAGTAGACAGCATAGCAGGGACGGTATGAGCAGAGACAGTCCCTCATATTCTCAAGATTTACAAAATAAATACACCTGTCTTTTCCTCATGCATCAAGGTCATTGAGAAATGCCATTTTGTCATTTGAAGACATTTGGAGTACAGCTGTGGGAGGTGTACTTTAGTGTTGTGAAATCTTGAAAAGGTTTCCAAGTGTGTGTAGGTGGGGTTTTTCTGTGTCCCAGCAGTAGCTCCCAAATAACCACAAGAGACTTAATATCAATCATAAATGCTCAGCCGATAGCTCAGACTTATTAATAACTGTCTCTTACAACTTAAATTAACCCATTTCTACTAATCTATGTATTACTATGTGACTTGTGGCTTTACCTGTCCTCCAACATGTCTTGCTCCCTCCATGTCTTCTGGCGACTCCATTGACTCTGCCTTTCTTTCTTCCAACATTCTCAATTTGACTGCCCTGCCTGGCTACGGGCCAGTCAGTTCTTTATTAACAATGAGAGCAACACATTTTCACAGTGTTCAGGATTATTTCGCAGCAATTGTGTTGGTTTAAATGAAAATGAGTGCCATGGACTCATATTTGAATACTTGCTCCCCAGTTAGTGGAACTGTTTGGGAAGAACCAAGAGGTGTGGCCTTGTTGGACAAAATGTCATTGGGAGTAGAGTTTGAGGTTTCAAAAGTCCTTGCCAGGCATTCTCTCTCTTCTCTCTCTGTCTGTCTTTGTCTCTCTCTCCTGCCTGTGAATCAGGATGCTCTAGCACCATGCATGTCTGCTTCTGTCCATGATGATAATGGACTAACCTCTAAAACTGTAAGCAAGGTCTCAGTCAAATGCTTTCTTTTATAAGAGTTGCCATGGTCATGGTCATGTTCTCTTTACAGCCATAGAACAGTAACTAAGGTAAGCATTATGGGCTGGACATGTATGGCCTCTGATGTGTATGTTGATACCCTGGGCCCCATTGTGACTGTATTAGGAAGCAGGGCCTTGGAAGGCATCTGCTTCTTTTCTTGTGGCTGTGATAAAATAATATGACAAAGGGAGAAGGAGATGTTCTGATTCACTGTCCAGGTTACAGGGGAGAAGCTAGAGAGCTGGTCATGCCGCATCTGTAGTTAACAAACAGGAAGGGGCAGGTGCATGCTGCTCAGCTTGCTTTCTCCATTTCTACAGTCTACAATCTCCGCCCAGGAAATGGTCCTGTGTTATAGGAGGTTGCTTGTTTGTTTCCGGCTGTATAGCCCTGAAATAATCACATAGAAATTGTATTAATTAAATCACCACTTGGCCTATTAGCTCTAGTTTCTTATTGGTTAGCTCTTACATCTTAATTTAACCCATTTCTATTAATCTGTTTATTGCCATGTGGCTGTGGCTTACCGGGCAAGGTTCCATCCGGCATCTGTCTCTGGCGGAGCTACATGGCTTCTCCTGACTCTGCCTTCTTCCTCTCAGCATTCAGTTTAGTTTTCCCTGCCAGGCCCAAGACAGCTTCTTTATTAATCAATTGTATTCACAGCATACAGAGGTGAACCCCACATTAGTCCTTCCCACAATTAAGATGGCTCTTCCCACATCTATTGACCTATGAGGCCTATTTCCCAGGTGATTCTAGATCCTATTAAGCTGACAACACTAGCCATCCCAGAAGGTAATTAAGTTGCAATTAGGCCCTGAGGGTGTGGCTCTAATGATGGCTTTTGCGTCTTCCTGAGAGAGACACCAGAGTTTCCTCCCTCTACCAAGCTCAGAAGGCAGGAAGGCAAACCAGGAACAGGCCCCTCACCAGGAATTCAGTTGGCTAGCTCCTTGAACTTGGACTCTGGGCTTCCAGAACTTTGAGAAATAAGGTACCCAGTCCATTGTGTTTTGACACAGCAGCCAGAACAGACTGAGAGAGCGACAGGCTTGCTGTTCTGGGAGGACAGACAAACTTAAGAGTTGTGCTTTGCCAACCAAGGATGCC